GAGTGAGGCACAGATCACCAATAACCTGACCACAGAGAGTGAGGCACAGATCACCAACAACCTGGCCACAGAGAGTGAGGCACAGATCAACAACAACCTGGCCACAGAGAGTGAGGCACAGATCAACAACAACCTAACCACAGAGAGTGAGGCACAGATCAACCAATAACTTGGCCACATAGAGTGAGGCACAGATCACCAATAACTTGGCCACAGAGAGTGAGGCACAGATCAACCAATAACTTGGCCACAGAGAGTGAGGCACAGATCACCAATAACTTGGCCACAGAGAGTGAGGCACAGATCACCAATAACCTGATCACAGAGAGTGAGGCACAGATCACCAATAAATTGGCCACAGAGAGTGAGGCACAGATCACCAATAACTTGGCCACAGAGAGTGAGGCACAGATCAACCAATAACTTGGCCACAGAGAGTGAGGCACAGATCAACCAATAACTGGGCCACATAGAGTGAGGCACAGATCACCAATAACTTGGCCACAGAGAGTGAGGCACAGATCACCAATAACTTAGCCACAGAGAGTGAGGCACAGATCAACAATAACCTGGCCACAGAGAGTGAGGCACAGATCACCAATAACCTGGCCACAGAGAGTGAGGCACAGATCAACAATAACCTGGCCACAGAGAGTGAGGCACAGATCACCAATAACCTGATCACAGAGAGTGAGGCACAGATCAACCAATAACTTGGCCACAGAGAGTGAGGCACAGATCAACAATAACTTGGCCACAGAGAGTGAGGCACAGATCAACAACAACCTGACCACTGAGAGTGAGGCACAGATCAACAACAACCTGACCACAGAGAGTGAGGCACAGATCAACAACAACCTGACCACAGAGAGTGAGGCACAGATCAACAACAACCTGACCACAGAGAGTGAGGACACAGATCAACAACAACCTGACCACAGAGAGTGAGACACAGATCAACAACAACCTGACCACAGAGAGTGAGGCACAGATCACCAATAACTTGGCCACAGAGAGTGAGGCACAGATCAACCAATAACTTGGCCACAGAGAGTGAGGCACAGATCACCAATCAACTGGACCACAGAGAGTGAGACACAGATCAACAACAACCTGACCACAGAGAGTGAGGCACAGATCACCAACAACCTGACCACAGAGAGTGAGACACAGATCACCAACAACCTGGCCACAGAGAGTGAGACACAGATCACCAACAACCTGACCACTGAGAGTGAGACACAGATCAACAACAACCTGACCACTGAGAGTGAGGCACAGATCAACAACAACCTGACCACTGAGAGTGAGGCACAGATCACCAATAACCTGACCACAGAGAGTGAGACACAGATCAACAACAACCTGACCACTGAGAGTGAGACACAGATCACCAATAACCTGATCACAGAGAGTGAGGCACAGATCACCAATAACCTGATCACAGAGAGTGAGGCACAGATCACCAATAAAACGAGCGTTTCATGTGATAAACAATATCGAGATGAACAATATTATGAGTAAAATAGAAAATAAAAAACAGAAAGTATTTTCAAAAATTCACAACGAAAATCCAATTAGCTCCCACTGTCACCGCTTGACAAACATTTTACGAATACACGAGTGAGGTCGGCTCCTGTCCTATCAATCATCCAGGCCGGCTCCTGTCCAATCAATCATCCAGGTCGGCTCCTGTCCTATCAATCATCCAGGTCGGCTCCTGTCCTATCAATCATCCTGTACGGCTCCTGTCCTATCAATCATCCAGGCCGGCTCCTGTCCTATCAATCATCCAGGCCGGCTCCTGTCCTATCAATCATCCAGGCCGGCTCCTGTCCTATCAATCATCCAGGCCGGCTCCTGTCCTATCAATCATCCAGGCCGGCTCCTGTCCTATCAATCATCCAGGCCGGCTCCTGTCCTATCAATCATCCAGGCCGGCTCCTGTCCTATCAATCATCCAGGCCGGCTCCTGTCCTATCAATCATCCAGGTCGGCTCCTGTCCTATCAATCATCCAGGCCGGCTCCTGTCCTATCAATCATCCAGGTCGGCTCCTGTCCTATCAATCATCCAGGCCGGCTCCTGTCCTATCAATCATCCAGGCCGGCTCCTGTCCCTTCAATCATCCAAGCCGGCTTCTGTCCTATCAATCATCCAGGCCGGCTCCTGTCCTATCAATCATCCAGGCCGGCTCCTGTCCCTTCAATCATCCAAGCCGGCTTCTGTCCCGTCAATCATCCAGGCCGGCTCCTGTCCTATCAATCATCCAGGCCGGCTCCTGTCCTATCAATCATCCAGGCCGGCTCCTGTCCTATCAATCATCCAGGCCGGCTCCTGTCCTATCAATCATCCAGGCCGGCTCCTGTCCTATCAATCATCCAGGCTGGCTCCTGTCCTATCAATCATCCAGGCCGGCTCCTGTCCTATCAATCATCCAGGCCGGCTCCTGTCCTATCAATCATCCAGGCCGGCTCCTGTCCTATCAATTATCCAGGCCGGCTCCTGTCCTATCAATCATCCAGGCCGGCTCCTGTCCTATCAATCATCCAGGCCGGCTCCTGTCCCTTCAATCATCCAAGCCGGCTTCTGTCCCGTCAATCATCCAGGCCGGCTCCTGTCCTATCAATCATCCAGGCCGGCTCCTGAGGCCGGCTCCTGTCCTATCAATCATCCAGGCCGGCTCCTGTCCTATCAATCATCCAGGCCGGCTCCTGTCCTATCAATCATCCAGGTCGGCTCCTGTCCTATCAATCATCCAGGCCGGCTCCTGTCCTATCAATCATCCAGGCCGGCTCCTGTCCTATCAATCATCCAGGCCGGCTCCTGTCCTATCAATCATCCAGGCCGGCTCCTGTCCTATCAATCATCCAGGCCGGCTCCTGTCCTATCAATCATCCAGGCCGGCTCCTGTCCTATCAATCATCCAGGCCGGCTCCTGTCCTATCAATCATCCAGGCCGGCTCCTGTCCTATCAATCATCCAGGCCGGCTCCTGTCCTATCAATCATCCAGGCCGGCTGCCGGCTCCTGTCCTATCAATCATCCAGGCCGGCTCCTGTCCTATCAATCATCCTCCTGTCCTATCAATCATCCAGGCCGGCTCCTGTCCTATCAATCATCCAGGCCGGCTCCTGTCCTATCAATCATCCAGGCCGGCTCCTGTCCTATCAATCATCCAGGCCGGCTCCTGTCCTATCAATCATCCAGGCCGGCTCCTGTCCTATCAATCATCCAGGCCGGCTCCTGTCCTATCAATCATCCAGGCCGGCTCCTGTCCTATCAATCATCCAGGCCGGCTCCTGTCCTATCAATCATCCAGGCCGGCTCCTGTCCTATCAATCATCCAGGCCGGCTCCTGTCCTATCAATCATCCAGGCCGGCTCCTGTCCCAATCATCAATCATCCAGGCCGGCTCCTGTCCTATCAATCATCCAGGCCGGCTCCTGTCCTATCAATCATCCAGGCCGGCTCCTGTCCTATCAATCATCCAGGCCGGCTCCTGTCCTATCAATCATCCAGGCCGGCTCCTGTCCTATCAATCATCCAGGCCGGCTCCTGTCCTATCAATCATCCAGGCCGGCTCCTGTCCTATCCATCCAGGCCGGCTCCTGTCCTATCAATCATCCAGGCCGGCTCCTGTCAATCATCCATCAATCATCCAGGCCGGCTCCTGTCCTATCAATCATCCAGGCCGGCTCCTGTCCTATCAATCATCCAGGCCGGCTCCTGTCCTATCAATCATCCAGGCCGGCTCCTGTCCTATCAATCATCCAGGCCGGCTCCTGTCCTATCAATCATCCAGGCCGGCTCCTGTCCTATCAATCATCCAGGCCGGCTCCTGTCCTATCAATCATCCAGGCCGGCTCCTGTCCTATCAATCATCCAGGCCGGCTCCTGTCCTATCAATCATCCAGGCCGGCTCCTGTCCTATCAATCATCCAGGCCGGCTCCTGTCCTATCAATCATCCAGGCCGGCTCCTGTCCATATCAATCATCCAGGCCGGCTCCTGTCCTATCAATCATCCAGGCCGGCTCCTGTCCTATCAATCATCCAGGCCGGCTCCTGTCCTATCAATCATCCAGGCCGGCTCCTGTCCTATCAATCATCCAGGCCGGCTCCTGTCCTATCAATCATCCAGGCCGGCTCCTGTCCTATCAATCATCCAGGCCGGGCTCAATCATCCAGGCCGGCTCCTGTCCTATCAATCATCCAGGCCGGCTCCTGTCCTATCAATCATCCAGGTCCTATCAATCATCCGGCTCCTGTCCTATCAATCATCCAGGCCGGCTCCTGTCCTATCAATCATCCAGGCCGGCTCCTGTCCTATCAATCATCCAGGCCGGCTCCTGTCAATCATCCAGGCCGGCTCCTGTCCTATCAATCATCCAGGCCGGCTCCTGTCCTATCAATCATCCAGGCCGGCTCCTGTCCTATCAATCATCCAGGCCGGCTCCTGTCCTATCAATCATCCAGGCCGGCTCCTGTCCTATCAATCATCCAGGCCGGCTCCTGTCCTATCAATCATCCAGGCCGGCTCCTGTCCTATCAATCATCCAGGCCGGCTCCCTCAATCATCCATCAATCATCATCAGGCCGGCTCCTGTCAATCTATCAATCATCCAGGCCGGCTCCTGTCCTATCAATCATCCAGGCCGGCTCCTGTCCTATCAATCATCCAGGCCGGCTCCTGTCCTATCAATCATCCAGGCCGGCTCCTGTCCTATCAATCATCCAGGCCGGCTCCTGTCCTATCAATCATCCAGGCCGGCTCCTGTCCCTTCAATCATCCAAGCCGGCTTCTGTCCCGTCAATCATCCAGGCCGGCTCCTGTCCTATCAATCATCCAGGCCGGCTCCTGTCCTATCCATCCAGGCCGGCTCCTGTCCTATCAATCATCCAGGCCGGCTCCTGTCCTATCAATCATCCAGGCCGGCTCCTGTCCTATCAATCATCCAGGCCGGCTCCTGTCCTATCAATCATCCAGGCCGGCTCCTGTCCTATCAATCATCCAGGCCGGCTCCTGTCCTATCAATCATCCAGGCCGGCTCCTGTCCTATCAATCATCCAGGCCGGCTCCTGTCCTATCAATCATCCAGGCCGGCTCCTGTCCTATCAATCATCCAGGCCGGCTCCTGTCCTATCAATCATCCAGGCCGGCTCCTGTCCTATCAATCATCCAGGCCGGCTCCTGTCCTATCAATCATCCAGGCCGGCTCCTGTCCTATCAATCATCCAGGCCGGTCCTATCAATCTGTCCTGTCCTATCAATCATCCAGGCCGGCTCCTGTCCTATCAATCATCCAGGCCGGCTCCTGTCCTATCAATCATCCAGGCCGGCTCCTGTCCTATCAATCATCCAGGCCGGCTCCTGTCCTATCAATCATCCAGGCCGGCTCCTGTCCCTTCAATCATCCAAGCCGGCTTCTGTCCCGTCAATCATCCAGGCCGGCTCCTGTCCTATCAATCATCCAGGCCGGCTCCTGTCCTATCAATCATCCAGGCCGGCTCCTGTCCTATCAATCATCCAGGCCGGCTCCTGTCCTATCAATCATCCAGGCCGGCTCCTGTCCTATCAATCATCCAGGCCGGCTCCTGTCCTATCAATCATCCAGGCCGGCTCCTGTCCTATCAATCATCCAGGCCGGCTCCTGTCCCTTCAATCATCCAAGCCGGCTTCTGACCCGTCAATCATCCAGGCCGGCTCCTGTCCTATCAATCATCCAGGCCGGCTCCTGTCCTATCAATCATCCAGGCCGGCTCCTGTCCTATCAATCATCCAGGCCGGCTCCTGTCCCTTCAATCATCCAAGCCGGCTTCTGTCCCGTCAATCATCCAGGCCGGCTCCTGTCCTATCAATCATCCAGGCCGGCTCCTGTCCTATCAATCATCCAGGCCGGCTCCTGTCCTATCAATCATCCAAGCCGGCTTCTGTCCCGTCAATCATCCAGGCCGGCTCCTGTCCTATCAATCATCCAGGCCGGCTCCTGTCCTATCAATCATCCAGGCCGGCTCCTGTCCTATCAATCATCCAGGCCGGCTCCTGTCCTATCAATCATCCAGGCCGGCTCCTGTCCTATCAATCATCCAGGCCGGCTCCTGTCCTATCAATCATCCAGGCCGGCTCCTGTCCTATCAATCATCCAGGCCGGCTCCTGTCCTATCAATCATCCAGGCCGGCTCCTGTCCTATCAATCATCCAGGCCGGCTCCTGTCCTATCAATCATCCAGGCCGGCTCCTGTCCCTTCAATCATCCAAGCCGGCTTCTGTCCCGTCAATCATCCAGGCCGGCTCCTGTTCTATCAATCATCCAGGCCGGCTCCTGTCCTATCAATCATCCAGGCCGGCTCCTGTCCCTTCATCCAAGCCGGCTTCTGTCCCGTCAATCATCCAAGCCGGCTTCTGTCCCGTCAATCATCCAGGCCGGCTCCTGTCCTATCAATCATCCAGGCCGGCTCCTGTCCCTTCAATCATCCAAGCCGGCTTCTGTCCCGTCAATCATCCAGGCCGGCTCCTGTCCTATC